TCTGCAGGACTGGGGCCGGACACCTCCGCTTGATCCGCAGCGTCAGAACAGGCTTCTGCCCTGCACAGGCATGGCTTCACAAAGCTGCAGCTTGATGCGCAGAACAATTCTTCTTGTTGATTCCTCTGTGCAGACTTTGGACACAAAATTGTTCAGTATATATTTTGCTTGTTTAAAATAATCTGGACTCCCCACCCCCGCCTTCAAGCGGTAACAGTTTAAGAAATCAGACCTTGCAAACACAGGTGGTCAAACAAATAAAGTCTGGAAGGAGCTGACTCTGCGTGCTTTCAGTATTAGAGCCCATGCGGCCACCCTGAGATGCCGGCTGCTAGCGTGTGGTTCTGCATTACCAGACTTTGCAAACCTTTATGGTTGAGTAACCTAACAGAAAGTTATAGAGACTCTGTGGCAAAGTGATGTGCTCTAATTCTACATTATTTGTTTAAAAAGGTGTTGACTGGCGTCAGGGGAAGCTGGGTTAGCTTTAGTGGGAACTGCACCCTTTGGAGAACGTCACTTCCCACGCTCCTGCAGGTGGGGAAAGCCACAGTGCAGCAAATAAAGTTACGATTCAGGCCTCTCAAAAGCAGCACTCGTGTCCATTGATGTAACGCTCCCTACCACGCTCATATTCTAGAAAGATCATCTGTGGGACGCTGCAACCGCTCTGAAGGAGTACGTGTTACTTTAACATGACGTGTTTCTCCCCCTGTCCCCTGCCCTTCCTAGTAAATAAGGGTCCTTTTCAAAGCATGTTCCCGTCACGCTGCCGTGGCAGCAGGTTGCGTTCCCTTTCCATGATTGGGACAGGCGTATTCTTTAAAACCCAGGACCATTCAGTGTCAACCATGTGTAGTTTACAAAATGTTAAATAGCAGCTTTGCCTCGTTAGTGACAGAGGGCTCCTTTCCACCCCGAGCTGCAAGAAACAGATGGGAGCTGTGGGAGAGCTGGGAAGGGACTGGAGCTGCCAAGGGGTAGCTCCCGTCTGCCCATCCATGTGCCGGTCACCCCTCCGGCTCCAGCCCACGTCACGGGGTGCACGCAGTACCGAAATGAGTGGGAGCTTCAAGCAACCACGCACCTAAAAGAGGAAGCCTCACCAGATGCAGTCTGAAAACTTAGAGCTGAATAAAAGTGGGAAAAGGAAGCTGCAGTAAGCCACAGCCAGAAGCAGTCACAAAAGGCCATAGATGCAAAAGTCTAGTGTCATTTGACGTAAAATACAGCAAGCGTACGCTCTCTGCTCTCACACGGTTCTGCAAACCGAGGACCCTCCGGCCGGTTCCATTTAGCGAATTTCTGCCTGTGCTACTTCTGCCTCCAGTGGAGCTGCAATGGGGTTCAGTTTGGCTGGGAATTCTCCCTGCTCCAGTTTTGGTTTGTGGTTTATTGCAACAACTCCTCCTCTCCGGGGAACGGGGTTTATATCCCATTTAGGTCACACGTAATCTGAACTTGGCAGCTTCGAATAGGTCTCGGGGCACTGGGGTGGGGGGAGGCTTCATCATGAAACTACCACGTTCTTTGGACCAGTGGAACAGCACAGCTGAAAAGCCCACAGTAGGGAAAAAATTATGCAGTGAGCCAGAAGGGAAGGGAAAAAAAAAAATCCCACATGCAAAAACCCATCGTCATTAACATCTCCCCATGTCCTCAGCCCAGCAGCTGCCAGCTAACAGCAGGACCTCACATTCCTTCCATGTACGAGGCTGTCACGGACCACGCTGAGGAACACCAGGGGTGTTGGTCTGACAGCCTCCTCCCGCCCGCGTGTTCAGAAAGGCAAAGACAGTTGTGATTTCCCTGCCACCACCCCGGGCAGCAGCGCCTGTGCCCCCTTCACAGACGGCCACAAGAAGTGTGCTCAGCCAGTTCTCACTGGAAAATGTGACGTTGAAAGCAAGAGGGGAAAAAAAAGTAACAAAGCGTTTAAACCAAGAGTTTTCCTGGGCCATACTTGGCCATGGAAGGGCTCAAGATGAGCAACAGCCTTAACGCCATCAGCAATAAAATTAAACTTGCACCTTGGCCTGGGAGGTTGCACATCGCCTGGAGACGGATGGTTCCTGCTCCAATCTGCCGTGTTCCTTACCAAAAACACGCCCTGCGAGCACGGGGTACTTCTCGCCCCATTAGGCTCCGTCCCCTCCTTTTCTAGCAGTGACAAGATCAAAAACTTTTTCAAAGCCCCCGTGGTCCCCTCAGCTGCTGCGCCCTGTCCCCCTGCCCTGGTGGGGACGGTGTTCAACCCCCCAGCAACCATTACCCAAAGCACACAACGCAAACGGACAGCCTGGAAAAGCGACTGGGATTGCCTTCTTTATTTAAAAACACAGGGGAAAAAGGGCGTTCCATCTCCTGCAGCCAGCATTTATGGGCGGTAACCGACACCACGGGAGTCACGGAGCATCGCCCACGCGAGGCACCCCGGCCCTAAGAGCACTTGAAATCCACAGCCAGCACTCGCAGGAACGCCTGAAACCACGTGGAAGTTTTCACAGAAAA